GGTCTTCCTAGACTGTTCATCCGTGCTACCCCAGGAAGCACAATGGGTGTGCCTGTCCACAGACTTTACTGTTTCCTGACTGAATATAGCCTGCTGCCTCCCTGTGGGTGGAAGTGTAGAAAGCAGGACCTTGTCAGAGCCTCACTGCCAGTCACTCAGGAGGATCAGTCTACCCCGAGCCCCTCATCACTAGGACAATCAATCTCCCAGCCTGGAGCTGGGCAGTTCTAACTTACCTTCGACCTTCATGATCTGGTACGTGTCCTGGACCACCTTATACTTGGGCTCATTCCGGAAGGCGTGTGCCCAGGCCTGGATCAGGTACAGGATCTTGTTCCGAACATTAACTTCCACCTGCCTCTGCAGAGCAAGAAGAAAGTGGGAAGGGCTGCGGGAGACTCGAGGTGTCTGAGGTCTCAAAGGGAAGAGCCAGCTTGCAAGACCAAGTGCCCTGAGTAGAGACAATTGGCACAAAGACCAGAGAGAGTCCCTGGGTGGCTACCAGGCACCCATCTAATCTCAGGAGCGAGCAGGGTCAGGGTCACAATCCTTTTTTTTTTTTTTTTTTAAGATTTATGTATTTAAACCGGGCGGTGGTGGTGCACGCCTTTAATCCTAGCACTGGGGAGGCAGGCGGATCTCTGGGAGTTCGAGGCCAGCCGGGTCTAAAAGAGCTAGTTCCAGGACTGGCACCAAAACCACAGAGAAACCCTGTATCAAAAACAAAACAAAACAAAAAAGAGTTATTTATTTATTATGTACCGTGTTCTGCCTGCACGTGTGCCTGGAGGTCAGAAGAGGACACCAAATCTCATTACAAATGGTTGTGAGCCACTGTGTGGTTGCCGGTAATTGAACTCAGGACCTCTAGAAGAGCAGCCAGTGCTCTTAACCTCTGAGCCACCTCTCCAGCCTGGAGTCACAATTCTTAATCCTCAGAGAAATCAGAGAATCCCCAGAAGCTACATTGCTTGACCTACAGCCATGACTCCTTCTCCATCTCTGCATGGCACCTCGTCCGCACCATCACTAAAGCCTGGCGCTCCGAGTGCCTCTAAGAGGCACCAGGCGGGACGTGAAGCATTGCCTTAGGTCTCAGGACACAGACACCACAGAGTCAGATCTCCCTCCAGCCATTGTCTGAAAGAGGCAGGGATGTCCTCTCCAGATGTTTCTCCACAAGGCTCAGGCCCTGAGAGCCACAGCACAGCCTCGCGCTTGGCACCCTCTTAGGGAGGTCACAACACTTTCTGTTGATGACACAGACCAAGCAGCTTCAAGGAGACACAACAGCTCTTACACTGGGATCCGGGCTTCTCTCCAAGCAGACCAGCCTGGTGCAGAGCAGGGAGGTCGCCTGACGCTTTGCCCTCCTCCAGCTATGCAACAAAAGTCTGGTTTAGGCCCCAAGTTAGAAGGGTCAGCTAACAGCTCAGTGCCCGAGACAGGTTCTCGGCAGCATGGGTTGAGGGTGAAGCTTCCCATGAGACCAAAGCCTGGAGCTGTGTCACATGAAACAGCGTCATTTGCCCAGCCCACCAACCAACCCAGCTGCATCACCATCCACATGACAACGCCTCAGGTCCTCGTGGGGACGATCTCACACGGCTCCAGCAAGCTCTCATCCACCCTCCCTGGAGCAGCTCCTGCTCTATCATTTTGCCCTCTTGGCCCTGCCAAGGATAGACCTAAACTCTAACTTCTGCACCTTCACGACTCAGACTTCTCCCACTCTTGAATGTGCTACTCCAAACCTCTTCCCCAAGCTCCTACGATACTCCATGACCACCTCTGCCCACAGCCCTGAGGACTCAGCCACATGCCCTACTTTGGAAGCCTTCTCTGGCCCAACAGTGTCTCTCCCTGGGCCTGGTCTGGACTCACAGACCACTCACAGGGACCTCTACTCTTACCCTCACCTCCCCCTTCTGTAAAAGAGCTGGCACTCAACCTAACTCTGTCTTCCCTCAAGACTCTAGGAAACCTACCTTCAGCAGCTCCTTTAGCTCTTCCATGGTCTGTTTGTTGGCTACTTCATCGTGGACTGTCTGGCCACAGTTCTTTACCACAGACTCCATCACCTGAAAACCACAAGGAAGATAAAGACCTAGCTTGCCGGGTGGTGGTGGCACACGTCTTTTATCCCAGCACTCGGGAAGCAGAAACAGGCTGATCTCTGTGAGTTCAAGATCAGCCTGGTCTACAGAGTGAGTTTCAGGACAGCCAAAGTTGTTACACAGAGAAACCTTGTCTCAAAAAGCAAACAAACAAAAAAGGCCTAGCTGTGTCCAGGGCAGGGCCTTCTTCCTGCTGGAAGACAGGCTGTAACAGGCCTCTGAGTCCACTCAACCTGTTAGAAACCCCAAACAGCACTCAAAGACAGGCTCCAGGCCCTGACAACATCTTGTGGTCAAAGATGACAGCCATCCCATCCTTCATGTGTGTATGTTCGGACTGCAGATAGAGAAGCATTTTTGATACTTCCCCTATTCCCATAGGAGGGCTCCAACTGTACTCAGTGCCAGAGGGATCCACTAGTTGATCTGTGCCCAGCAAAGTGGGCATGGCTGCTGCACAGCAGGAGGAAGAGAATCTGAGTATGGGAACCAAAAGACACTGCAGCAGGGCTCTAGTTACCTCCAGAGCATACAAAGCCACGTGTGGGTTCTTATCATTGACCTTCTTCTTGATGGAATTTACAGCATATTTTGCTCTGAAAGAAAAGAAAAATAAAAGCAGTAAAGACAGCAGTAAGAGGGATGGAGGGGAAACGTCTCCATAAGGTGAGGAGAGCAATCTGCCATCCTTGTTTTCTGAGACACGGTTTCATGTAGCCCGGGCTGGCCTCCAGTCCAGTGTGTAACTAAAAAAGACCCTGTCTTCACCTCCCAAGTGCTGTGACTACAGGCAGTGCCATCATGTCTGGTTTATGCTGTTTTGGGGATGAACCCAAGATTTTACACACACTAGGCAAATACTCTACCAACTGAACTCTACACCCAGACTTCCACACACCATCTTGGTCCTTCAGACCTCTAAATATCTCCAAACTGTACAGTTTTAATTGTCCCAACATAACAAAATATCCAGACATAGATAAGGCAATTGCCTACATAAAGAACCCTTGGGGTGACAGACGGTGGTGCCGCATGTCTTTAATCCCAGTACTCAGGAGGCAGAGGCAGGAGGATCTCTGTGAGTTTGAGGCCAGCCTGGTCTACAGATTGAGTTCTAGGACAGCTCCAAAGCTACGCAGAGAAACTCTGTCTCAAAAACAAAAACAAACATACAAAAAAGCCCTGTGGTCAACTTAATCTTTGAAGTGGAATGGGAACGAAAAGATGTCAGCATCATAAGTGACCACCCCTTGCTTTATAGGACAGGCCCTGCCCACTTACTGTGTGTCCCCCTGACGGATCAGGTCGCAGATCTGCAGAATGGACTCCCAGTCTGTCTCCAATAGAAGCTGGCTGGTGGCTTTGTCTAAAGGAGAGAGATGTCACTCAGGGGACCCACTGTGCTGTTTCCTAGATGGCTCCCAGGTTAGCAATTTCCCCTTTTTAAACAGCTGAACCGAACAGACAATCCTCTTGAAGCAGTGACAATCCTGGAAATGGCACACACACACATACACCCCGTGCAAAACGCAAATAATGTGAAAATTACAGACTCATGGCTGCTGTGCTTGCTCCGGATCAGCTGTCATTTCAAACTCTGAATCACTCAGTTCCCACAGACCCTCAGGAGACAGGCACTGCCTCCATCCCCTTTCAACGTAAAACAGAGGGACATGAATGCCCTATATCACAGCTTGCTGGGCACTTCGAAACAGCACGCACAACAACAGGGTCACCTGGCCCTCAGAGCCCCATCACTGAGATGGTTTGTCCTTTATATTATTAGCTCTTAGCAGGGCAGGCACTGGAGAGATCTCTGGATTCCCCAGCTAACACTCTTCACATCCTCATCCCCCCTCTTCTACAAGGATGAACTATCCCAAGACACACCAACTTTGTCACCGACTCGGCAAATTACTGGATTGGTACCTGAAGTGCTGAACTTCCCCAGAGGGGAGAATAAGAAAAATGTTTCCACGATCCCCTTTGAAAACCTTAGTTCGGAAAGCAAACGAGCAGACTATGGAGGCACTCTGGCGCCTGTTCGGGGACACACTATATTTTTATTGAGAGAATGCGGCATGCAAGGCAAACCCATTTTCCCTCCTAAAATTTACACTTCCCAGGAGGTTCAAATAGGATCAACAAGCTCCTTCAACAGGGAGAGAAAATGTCTTCCAAAACCCAGGGACACTTCCAGAACCCAAGGAATAAACAGGGTCCTAGGAAGCAGTCCCCAAGGGGCTCGCAAAGGTTTAAGGAGGGCAGTATCGGTTCCACAGCCTTCGAACAAGCATCAGGGTCAAACGACCCGCATGAAGCTAGGACCTGAGTCATACACTTCATGACTCAGGACTTTGGCCCAATCGGTTCCGGCCCATCGGACCGGAGGGGGCGAGGTCCTCGCGGACTCCCAAAGAGCATCCCTCACTGGACCCCCGGGCCGCGGTGCACAGCCCCGGAGGCCACACCCGAGGCCCGGGGATGTGTCGTGCTCCCGGGAGGCCGGCGGCCGAGCAGGGCGACCGGCCCACTCCCCGGAGACCTATGGAGGCAGCGTCTGGCGGGTGCGCGAGAGAGCTGACGGCGAGCTGGCTGGTGGACGCGTTACCTAGGAGACGCTCGAAGGTGCCGCTACCTCGCCCCATGGCGACCCCGCTCCGGACCGACGCCGCGGGCGCTCCCTCTTTCGGAGCTGACGCGCCCCCCAACTTCCGCTTCCGCCTTTCTGGGTCCGCGTGCGCAGGCGCACGTCGCCGCGCCGCCCCGAGACCGGCCCCCAAGGCGAGGCCCTGCGCATGCTCACTGACTCTGAGCGGCCATTGGTCGGCGCGACTAACCAATGAACCGGTCGGACGAGGGGTCTAGCCAATGAGAGCTCGCCGGAGGCGGGCCTCCCGGCGTCGCAGCTCCAAGGGACCGGGGCCCGGAGGACCGGGGATGTGTCTCTTACTGGGGGCTGCGGGGGTCGGGAAGACCCTGCTGGTGAAACGCCTGCAGAATATCCTTCCGCACTGTGGGGGTAGGGCAGGGTAGGGCGGGGGACGCACCAGGGTTCCTCGGGCCGGGAAACCCGTCCTCTGCCGCACTCAGGACCTTGACCGCCCGAACAGCTGAGCTCGGGAGATGGCAAGGGCGACCTGGGGGACCCTCCGCCGACGCGGCCCACGGTATGTGTCCGCCTCTCTCGGGTCTGACTCACACGGGTTACCTTGGCGACTTGACGTGGCCTCCTCGGGCTTTTCCAGGTGGAACCCGCGGTGCCGGTGGTCAGTGGGTTGGGTAGTGTGGGTACTGCCTTCCCGGCACGGAACCGCTGAGCCTGCAGGGAACCCGAAGCCCGCCTTCCCGTGGGCACTTTTCGCTCCTCTCTCTTGGGACTTATTTCACTGTCACCCTCAGGGCCCAGCTCTGACGTTGACCATGGCCTGGAGCCCCCAGAGAGCTGCTTTTCTTGGTGGCGAGCTCTGCTTGAACAGTTGTCACTAACCATCGAGGTTTAGCCACCATCTATCTCCCCCCCCCCCCACACGCACACACAATACACATCGCGGAGCTGCTACCCAGGACTTCACAATGGCACAGCGCTTACATTGATCTCATGCGTCGTGTTTCCTTCCCACATGCACAGGTTGGCACCAACCTCACTGACATCGTGGCCCACAGGAAAATCACCATCCGAGAGCTCGGGGGTTGCATGAGCCCCATCTGGTCCAGTTACTATGGAAACTGTCATTCGCTCCTGGTGAGTCAGTACTTCGAGCTTCTTTTGGGAGCAGTGTGTGGGTCACCCCGAGCCATCTATCCCGATCCTGCTATGGGATAGGGTTTTGGTGATTGCACGAAGAAACAGTACTTGGGCTGCGTTGCTTGCTCTTAGGCATTGGTCTGAGCTCCTCAATAGGGTTCATCCTCCACGAGGTCTATGCTTTGGTACCCGAGTATCCAACCTGTCTACATCTTCATGGTCGGTCCCATCCCCACAAGGAAGGAGTTCCAAATTCTGAGATGGAGAATTAATGGCCACAAGAGTAGATTTTATGCATTTAAAGACACCACGGACCCCCAAGTCATCCTCATACAACTTCCCTTTGCTGCCTGTTTCCAAAACCTTTGGCTTAAAAGCCACTCTGGGGCCACTTGCCTAGCTCACTCGAAGCCCTAGGTTTGACTTCAAGCATCATAGATGATCATTTTAGAAAAGTTGTGTGTGCTCTTCCTGAGTCACGTGTGTGGTGCCTAAGTGGAGGGTTGGCCAGGAAAACCTTAGCTTATGTTTCCTCTTCCTAGTTCGTGATGGACGCCTCCAACCCCACCCAACTCTCTGCATCCTGTGTGCAGCTCTTGGGTCTCCTTTCTGCAGAAGAACTTGCAAAAGCCTCGGTCCTGATACTCTTCAATAAAATGTATGTGTCTAGGGGATGATGATGATGTTCCAAGAGGTTATCTCCTTGAGTGCAGCCTAGAACATGGGATCCAGAGTGGGGAGGTGCAGCTGCAGGTGGGGCAAATTTGATGAAGTGCTTCTTTAACCACAGCGACCTTCCCTGTTACATGACCGTGGAGGAAATGAAGTCAATAATCAGGCTTCCAGACATCATTGCTTGTGCCAAGCAGAACATCGCCGCTGCAGAAATAAGTGCCAGGGACGGCACTGGCTTGGCAGCAGTACTGCTCTGGCTCCAGGAGCAGCACAGATGAGCAGCTGACGGCTGGACGGAGCATTCTGGCTGACCCGGTGCCTGGGGACAAAGACTGGCGTGATTGCCTCTGAAGATGCGTTCTCTGAAGCAGACCCGCCCAGTGTGTGTCTGACTGACAAGCCTGTGTACAGACACTACTGTCATCCGGAGTATGTCATCTCTGGAGAATGTCCCCAAGACTGGGAGAGGACAGAACTACAGGTGGCTGGATGTCTTCCTGCTATCCAGATGAAAGTGCTGCTGGGACTGCACCAGGAAACTCTGGACCTGTGCCTGAGGGCTGTGGACTCTATTGCCCCACTGAGCCCAGATAGTTTTTGCTAGTACAAGCTCGGCCCTTCTGAGTTTCTGATATCCTAACCATGTTCCCCAGAAAAAAATATATAAAGTTAGTGAGTATAAGAACTGTCTGAAGAGGGCTGGAGAGGTAGCTCAGCAGTTTAGAACACTGGCTGCTCTTCCAGAGGACCTGAGTTCAATTCCCAGCACCCATATGACAGCTCACACTGTCCGTACCTCCTGTCGAGGAATCTGACGCTCTCACACAGACATACATGCAGGCAAAACACCATGAAAAAAAAGTCTCAATGAGAAACAAAAACCAGGCAGGATGTGGTGGTACAGGGCCATGGCTTGAGCTACTCAAGAGACCAGAGTGGAAGGATCATTTTGAGCTCAGGGATTGAAGAACCCAGGCAACACTGGGGTCAGAAGAGCCTCTCAAAAAGATAGGGGTGAGGGACCAGGTGTGGTAGAGCATTTCTTGGGAGACAGAGGCAGGAGGACTTCTGAGTTCTGGGCTAGTCTGGTCTACACAAACACTGTCTAAAAAACAAAAAGATGAAGCCAGCAGTGGTGGCATATGTCCTAAATCCCAGCACTCAGGAGGCAGAGGCACTCTTGAGTTCAAGGCCAGCCTGGTCTACAGAGCAAGTTCCAGGACAGACAGGGCCACACAGAGAAACTGTCTAAGGAAAACAACAGCAGCAACAACAAAAAGATGAGGAGGTTTGACATCACCAGAGATAAGAGTGTTTCCATTGCTTCATTTGTTCTTTTAAATATATAGTTTGTTGGGGGCTAGAGAGATGGCTCAGAGGTTAAGAGCACTAGCTATTCTTCCAGAGGTCTTGAGTTCAATTCCCAGCAACCACATGGTGGCTCACAGCCGTATGGAATGCTGAATGTGATAAATCTCTTTTAAAAAATTAATAATACCTAAAAGCATGGATGAGGGCATCTTTAACAAAAGTTGAAAGTAAGACATACCCAAAGCAATATGGGTATGGGCTCTTTCTCAAGACAAGGTTTTGAGAAATCTTGTGTAAAAGTCCAAACTGTCATGGAACTCACTATGTAGACCAGGCTGGCCTCAAAAATCACAGAAATCTGCCTGCCTCTGCCTCCTAGTGCTGGGATTGAAGGCGCATGGTATCACCACCCAACTGGGTATGGGCTCTTTAAATGAGAGTTATCCAGAGTTCTTCGATACACTTCAGTTGGCTACAGAACTAGCCAGTTGTGCTTTAACTGGATGGTTACATGGCTTCTGAAAAGAACACAAAAACTTACAATTCTAATAATAGTAGCCTTGGGCCCTGGCTCTAGTTCTGATGCTTAGTGGGAAACAAAATGGCCAAGGCATCCAACTTATTGGCCCCTGCTAATGTTGGGTGCATGTCTAAGCACTCATCCCCGGTCACACCCACATGCACGGACTTGGGCTGTGACCAAGTGTGTCAGAGAGCAAGGAGCCAGACTTCAAAGAGAGTAAAACTTTAATGTCAGTAAACTTCACTCTGGAAAATGCAAACTTGGAAGAGTCAAGGCACTCCGTGTGGGCTCCTTCACCAGCTCTTCTGGATGGTGCGGGCCGTCCCATATATGGTCATATATGTGTTGCTTTATTGGGTGATGAATAAAGCTGTTTCGGCCAATGGCTTAGCAGAGTAAAGCCAGACAGGAAATTCAAACAGAGAGAGAAAGAGAAGACAGAGTCAAGGAGATGCCATGTAGCTGCCGAAGGAGAAAGACACCTCCAGAACCTTACCAGCCTCGTGGTAATACACAGATTAACAGAAATGGGTTAATTTGTGAGAACTAGCTAGAAATATGCATGAGCCATTGGCCAGTGTTATAGTTAATATAGCTTCTGTGTGATTATTTGGGTCTGGGCAGCTGGGAAACGAACGAGCAGTCTCCTTTTACAACTATGAGAGAAGCCCCTAGGTCTGCCAGAAGCAAGGCCCAAGCCTAGCTCTTTTGATGTCAACATGAGGGTGGTTTTTGTTTTTTGAAACACGGTCTCATGTAGTCATGACTGGCTTTGAATACCCAATTCCTTTGCTTCTACCTCCTAGGTGCCAGGATTCTAGGGCGGGACCGCACTCCCGAGGTTTGGAAAGTTTCAAGGTTTCACTATTGGGAGCCAGCATCAGGTCCTCCCTCCTTTAATACTATGGGAGACACATTCAAACAGATTCCATCCCTGGTCCTCTCTGAAGGCCTGCCCCTATTTCCCAGAGGCCTGCTACGCAGGACATGGACCTTTTCCTACTCTCTCGGTATAACCACTCTGCCCTTCCTATCTCTGAAGTCTGGTTCAGCCTCAAGGCGTTCAGCCAGTACTGACACCCCATCTCTATCCAAACCAAACCTAGATGGGTACTCTGGCGTCTGTACACACCCCTGCAGGCAAATAAGGTGCTGACTGCCAGCCACCTGAGAGATTGATACACCTGCACTGGGTACATCTGTTCCCACTGTACTGTTACCCTGCCTTGCATGGCACTGAACCCATAGGAGCCTCCTAAAACAGCAGGCTGACCTACAACAGCAGCTTCAGTAATCAGCTGGATTAAGGGATTGAGTCCTTTGTACAGTAGTCCTGACTTGTCTTCACTGAGATTTGTTTCAGAATGAAGCCAAGCTCAGGAAAACACCAGCCCCCTCCATCTGTGTTTCAGGCAAGTGCTGGGGGAACTTGCCCTTTATGAGGTGGGATTCACTGGTGGTCACTTTTAAAAGGATAACCTTCAGGGGACAGGGAAAGAAAAGCACCCCCACCCCCATACTGTTCAAGCCCCTATCCAGAGACAAGCATCTGCTGTCTTTCCCTCTGCCAGGTCTAGCAGCTAACGGGCCAGTTTCCAGCGCATTGGTCCCCTGGGTCTCTGAGTCACAGACAAGTCTGCAGCTTCCTCTGAGAAGAGCAGCCAAGCGGGCGTGCAGATGTCACTTCCTGCCGCTGCAGCTTCTTCAGGGCTCTGTAAGCCTGCACAGCCCGTTCCCGCTCTTCCCCCAGTATCCGCTGGCGGGCCAGTGAGGTAGCTGGAGTCAGGGACCCACCACCAGCGCCCAAAAGCATCTTTAACATTAGAGACTTCTTGCCAGGCTGAGGAAAGAGAGAGAAGGTTTTAGCACACGTTCACTAGGAAAGAAGATGGCAAAGGGCTTTGATTGGTTCAGCAGTCCATAGTCAAGGAGACTTGCTCCCCAGCAGACTCAGCAATGACCTAACCATCCCCACTCCCTGCAGCCCATAGTCCAGGACACTTGCCCCCCAGCAGACTCAGCAATGACCTAACCATCCCCACTCCCTGCATGCTTGGTCCCCACATACCGCATCTCTGCCAATGCTCCGTCTAGGCTGGACCGTCAGCTCCGGGGGCTGTAGCACAACCTCGCCAAACTCCACAGTATCTGGAGAGTCAGTGAACAGAAGCTGCTGTTCAGAGCCAGTGGCATTTCTGACTCACTGCCTGTCCGTCCTTTCTTGAGGGCTTCAGGACTCACTCATCCTCAGGCCTACGAGTGGTGAACCCGGAAGAGTCCAGAGGTACCAGCAAGGAGGTCTAGGGGAAAACAGGTAGCCCTGTGCGGACTACAGTTTCTGTCCCTGCTGTGGGAAGACCTACCTTTCAGCAGCTCCTGCTCCAGCCTGTCCACTGCTCTTTCCTCCCTTTTCTTCTGGGCTTTTTCAAGTCGCCGCTTCTGGAACCTGGGGGGAAAAGCATGTTTTTCAGACTCTTAAGTGCTGGTTCCATCTTAGGGGCAGCAGAGGTCAACCTGACCTCAAAGGATGCAAGATATGGAAGTGGGAGGCAAACCCATGCTCTGCACCCAACAGGCTCCCCGAGGGTCAGTAGTTGTCAGCCCCAGGGAACAATGACAAAGTCTAGAAGTTCTGAATTGCCCACACAGCCTGGACCTATAGGTATCTACTGGAACAATGCCCTCCCATACTGAATGTCAGTTATAAGATTGGATCCACAGGCCTTGCAAAGTACTGTATGTGTGACACACCACACCTCTTTGTGAGCATTTGCAGACCGCAATGGCTCTGGCTCTTCTGACTGTAGTATTAGCAGGAAGTAGAAAGCAATCTTTTTACATCTTTGAAAGAACAGAAAGGACACATGTCTGCAGTACTAGTGAGGAGGAAAAGAAGACAATGTAGCCATTCTTGTTGGTCATCTTTTTGTTTGAGACACTGTCTGGCCTGAACTCACAGCAGGCCCCCAACCTCAGCCTCTGGATCGTGGAATTGTAGCCACAAACGACCATACAGGATTGGAATGTTTCTTCAACTTCAGTGAAAGCCCAGACTGAGCCATGCAGGTCTCCGTGAGCTCGAGCCTACCCTGGTCTACAGAATGAGTTTCAGGACAGCCAGGGCTACAGTGAAACCCTGTCTCTAAAAAACTAAAAAGAAAAAAGAGCCGGGTGGTGGTGGTGCACGCCTTTAATCCCAGCACTCAGGAGACAGAGGCAGGCAGATCTCTTCAAGGCCAGCCTGGTCTATAGAACTAGTTCCAGGATAGGCTCCAAAAGTACAGAGAAATCCTGTCTCGAAAAAGAAAAAAGAAGAAAGAAAGAAAGAAAGAAAGAAAGAAAGAAAGAAAGCAAGCAAGCTCAGGCCGATTCTTCCTGAAAGTTGAGGTTAGTACATCTAAATAAATAATTTTTTTTATTTATCCCAGTCAGGGATGAAGGTATAGAACTTGCACAAACAAGACAGGCTAGAGAGAAACCCCACTACAGGACAGGTGACAGCCGATGCCAGCCTCCCAGGGGCCACTCCACAAGGGTGATTCCTTTGGGGATAATGTCTTAGCAGACACCAAGCTACAGGAGCTTTTCCTACAGCAGTGTGTGCAAGGCAGATAACCGTCCCTTCTTGTCACCAGGACCCACAGCCCTGGGCCTCCCGGCTCAACTCACGCTTTCTTCCGTTCAGACTTCTCCTTCTTGGGAGCTGCCTGCACCTCTGGCTGCCGAGGGGCCTGGTTCTTGCTAAGGAACAGCACATGCTGGGCCTCCTGTTCCATGCGTTGGACGTAGGCCACTTCAGACTCCCCCTTCCTCTGCTTGAACTTGGGGACAACGATGTCTGTCTCTTCTTCCCCCTTTGCTTCCTTTTCCAGTGTCTCCTTGAAAGCCGCCTGGGCTGAGGACAAAGGACACAGGACAGAGTGGTTGGTGACCAGCAAGCAGCCCGTGACCATTTCCCCTCCTACAGCCACAAGAAGCAAAGACCAGGCTTAAGGACGAGCACCGATCTACAACATTCAGTTCAGGGCAGCCCTACAGATGTGATCTCACGACCCACTGGCTCCAGCCAACACAGGTGAGCAAAGAAGCCGGAGCATCCAGCATGGTGACACACACCTGTAATCCTAGCACTTGGGAGGCAGAGGCAGCAACCACACTGGGCAGCAAAGACCTGTAACTCCAGCTCCAGGGGATCCAACACCCATGCACATTTCTGGTGACCACTCACGCTTGCACGTACATAATTAATAATAAGATCTCAAAAGTCCAAGCATGGTGAGTTACAAAAGAGCACGACTGTAAAATCAGTACGACGCTGTCCTCCCCGCCTCAAACACCTTGAAGGATTTGGGCAACTGGACGGATTCAGACAAGGCTACGCTGGCCCAGCAAGGGCTGCTGCATACCCTCCTTCTTTCTCTTCTTGTTGCTGAGCTGTTTTTTCATCTCCTGTCGGCTCCTCATAATCTCTCGGAGCCGGAAAGGGATTTCTTGCTCATCTTGATTCTTGGGCTTGCAATTCACTTTCTTCTTTTCTTTGCTGGAAAGATAACCCGGGAGTGAGACCCTTCCCTAGGACAACATAAGCAGAAACAAGATAAGGAAGAAGTGGTGCCGGATCCATGAACATACAGACGGTCCTCTCCTCACCCTTGACCCAGGCTGCCTTGAACTGGATTTTTCTCCGCATGCTAAGGCAAAAGTCCGTGGCCTCGTACCGGGAACGTGCCTCACGAGAAACTTGAAGCACTCACCTACGTTCATTCAACACATGGCTGAGCGTGGGCCCAGGCTGAGTTAGGTATCCCAACTGGGTCCTCTCCCGGGGATGACACCCACCTGCGCTGTCCCGGCCGTGAGGCTAAGCGCTGCTGTCCCTTCGCCTGCTTCTGCTGCCGTCGCGCGTGCGGCTGTCCCGAGCCTCCAGGACCCGCCGGACGGGAGCCTCTTGCACGCCCGGGCCCTGCCATTACTACTCCTGGAGCTCCCT